ACATCCCCAGCCAACAAGCAAGTTCCACCTTCTGCTCCTGCACCTTTGGATCAGTGACAGACAGTGGACAATATCTGTTCATTCCACTTACTGTTGTTCTTCAAGACCAGCAAACAGAGGTCTATGCCTCTTCCCCTATCATTTATTCCACTCACCTGGAGACATGTAGAGGGCACCCCAGTCTGCCAAACTAGCAGACAAAGTATGAAGCCCACCACTCCTGCTTGAATATATCAAAACAAAGGAAAACAAACAAAATCAAGATGAAACAATTCAATACATAATCAGCAAATAAATACAACATATCCAAATTGTCTTGGAGACAGCAGACAACTTCAGACCAAACAAAGAAACAGGAAAATATAACACAAGTAAGTGACCAAAAGAAAGAATAGAAAATGTCTCTGGTGAAGAATAGATAATAGAACTACCTGATAAGAAATGAACCTGGGTTCCAGCACCAAAAAAAAAAAAAAAAAAAAAAAAAAAAGAAAAATGTTTATATACAGGACTTTCCAAGAGTTCAAGGAAACCACAGACAAAATGAAAGAAAACACAGAAAATATCCTAGAATAATTCAGAAAAACAATACAGAGCAAAATGACAAAATAAGTAGACACTTAGCAAACACCCTAAAAAGTGATTAGAAATCCAGAAAATTACCTGAAGACTTTCAGAGATAAATAAGATATTGGTAAGATAAAACAGTCAAATTAAATCAATAGAAGAATGGGTCAAAGTATTAGAAGAAAATCCCTATTTGTAGGAGGAATGATTAGAAAAAAGAATGAAGAAAACCTAAGATTTAGGTGGGAAATTGTCAAGAGGAAAAATTTACTTTTGATCTGAATTCCAGAACAAGAGGAGGCATAAATAAATAATAAAATCAAATCATATTTCATTTGATTGCTAACCAGAAGGCTGGTGGTTCAAATCGACTAGCTGTTCCTCAGAAGGAAGACTGGGCAATCTACTTCCATAGTGATACCACCATGGAAACCCAAGGAGAGGTTGCACAGCTCCAAGTTGACGGCAGTAAGCTGCTTTTTTTTTTTTTTAAATCAAGGAAAAAGTGAAAATTAAAATCTTTGAAAAGCTATGTCATTTTCAATTTTAAAAATCCTGGAAATAATTAGGAATCAATCTGATAAAAGATGTGTGAGATCTGTTTGCTGAAAACAGCACAACACTGCAGAGAGAGATGAACAAGATCTACAGTGACATTTTGTATTCATTGGTCAGAAGACTCACTATTCTTCAGATATCAATTCTCCTGAAATTGATATATAAATTTAATGCAATTTCAATCAAAATTCTTGAAGGATTTTTCTGCAGAAATTGTAGAATACCAAGCTGTTTCTTAAATTTATATGGATATGTAAAAGACCTAGAATATCCAAAGTAACTTTGGAAAAGAACAAAGCCACAGAACTAAAGTGATCGGATATTAATACTTATTGCAAAGGTGTAGTAGTAAATACACATTACAGTGTAGAAATGCATTAATTAAATTGAATAGGGAGTTCAGAAATAGACTACATCTATATAACTGTTTCCTTTTCTTTTTTTAAACAAAGTTTCAAAGGCATATCAGTGGAGAAAGGTTTTTTTTCAAGAATTATTTCCTTTGTTTATGCTGTATAACAGCAAAATGTTTTGGCTAGTATTTAACTCTTTGAATTCTTATAGTAGCCCTGAAGCTTGCTTATGAATGGATGACAGAAGTATATTGGTTTCATATTCAAACACCAGAAAGACTTTCTGGATTTGCCTTTGATGATTTTGCATTTTGAATTGTGACAGAATATTGATTTGCACTTTTTTCCTTGGAAGGGAGTTAGTTTAATAACTCTTCAAATCTTGATCTCCAAGATAATATATGTAACCAATCTATTTTTACTTAGTTCAAGTACATTCTTGTATAAATATTATTTACTTACTTCTGATATTGAAATTACCCTACATAGAGCCACATGCCACAAACCAAATATGCTACCAGAACTTTTCCATATTCCAAAAAGAAACATTCGCTTATAATCAAAACTATTATACTCTTATATTAACAGTATGTCACCACAATACACTACATTCCAATACAGTACATTAAAACCATCGTTTTAAGAGAATATCTGCAATATTCATGCTTGCTACAGGACTCCTAAATTATTTTCTTTTTAGAGCAAGTAAGAACAATTTTCTTATTGGCGAAAACTAGCCCAGCAAATTGTCTCAGATTGTCTCAGGTCTATGAAACATGTGATACTCTTGCTTTATGTTTCCTAGACCTTAAAATACAAAGCATGTTATATGGTTTATTTTTAAAAATAATTTGGAAAAACGATTATCTATTTGGTATATAATTAGTGAATATCAATCTCTAGGGGCATTGTTTTTTCTATCTTCCTTTTTTTTTTTTTTTGGAATTTTAATCATTCCCCTTGTGTCTTTATTAAGTAAAAGATAAAACTGTGGCTTAGCTAGAATCATAGTATATATTAAATTTCTGTATTTAAAGATAAGTTTTTATAGATTTTGATGTTTGATGTAACATTTTTATTTAAGGAAAACATGCAAAAAAATTTAACCAAACTGCAAAGAATGATAGCATTTTTTAATATCTGAATCCTGAGATGTGCATGACTGTGTGGGAAATCTTTTGAAACATTTAGTTTTCACATGTAACATTTTATTTCAATTCTACTGAAGAAAACATTGGATTTAACTTCTCTTTTACTAATTGAATATATGAGTATATATATTTAACATTATAATCATACTTAAGTAGCCTGTGTATTATATCATGTACCAAAGCAAAAATATAAATCTCAATATATGCTGTTTAAGGTAAGTCAATTTGTAATTTTAACTTTTCTTTATTAGAAATTTAAAAACTTTGGAAGTCTAAGTCAGGGAATTAAATTTGGTCTCAAGTTGTCCTATTTTATCTTTTCTTTTTTGTGCAGACTTAAAAACTTCTATATAAATTTACCATACCAAACTAAAAAACACTACCATCAAGTCCACTAGGGATCCCCTTTGGGTTTTCGAGGCAGTAAATCATTCCAGAAGTAGATTGCTCAGTCTTCCTTACAGAGTGGCTGAAGGTTTGAACTGCCAACCTTCCAGTTAGCAGTCAAATGCCTCAGGCACCAAACCACCCTTAAAGTATATAAAAAAATATAATACCATGGATTTCTAATACACAAATGAATCTGTGACCTTACCTACCTATGAAGCAAGAGTTACCTAAGATGCACTATGGAGGAAATATTCTGGTTTGAAAAATTTTAATTCAAAGCCTCATTTAGGCACATGTGGCTAGCAAAAGATCATTGGTTAATATCTAAAAGCAGTCTTCAAAAGCATACATTGACTAGCATCAGGAGTCCTGGCATGACAAGTTCAGATGCACATGTTGAAAATAAATATTTGTAATTACCTAATAAAATTGTATGCCTACAGCATCCATGATTTTGTTTATGCAAAATATTAATATTCATAGCCATTTGCTTTTTCTGATTTTTAATAAACACTTTCATAGCCAAGTCAAAATTAAAAACAATTAATTCGATTGCTTAGCACAACTTGAAAGATTGTGATTAACAAAAAACAATGAAAAGATAAAGAAACAACATCTTTACTAGTTATGTTTGGTTCACAACATCATCATATTCCATAATCAACAAAAGAACATACATTTTATTTTTATTAGGATAGAAGACTTATTGACACAAAAATAAGAGAGTAATGAAATAGAAATATTTTTATGTTTGAATGCAAGAACCAGCATGTGATCTCAGAAGCTTAGACTGGTAGAAAGCAATCACATACATTTCAGATGAAGATTCTAAGGATTCAGTAGCTATAAAAAGAATATGCATGAATAAAAGAATAAGTTCATGTAACTGGTAGAGCAGAGGAATATTTGAACACTTTAATTAAGAAAAAAGGAAAAATCATTTATGCGGCATTTGATTTTTTTCTACTATAGCATGCACACAAAAACAAAACTGGAAAAGTATAAAAGAAAGGCTTTATTATATCCTGGTAATTTTGAAAATTAAGTAAGTCCAAAAGGCTTGCTGAAGTGCAAACCAACTTATTAACAAAAATAACTTCCAATTAATAACTGTAGAGTGTTCCTCCAGCAATGATCAGTGACAAGGACAACAATGAGTGCTTAAAATAATTTTACATGCAAATTAAAACTGTTACTTCTTAATGTAACTTACATAACCATAAAGGAAAAGAAAAGAATAAGAATCCATCATAAATGAAAAAGTAAAAGGGAAAGGGAAATACACAAATATCTGTTTCAATTTTTTATTCCTGTACTACATTTCCTAAGTCATACAGACTTGAGGCATTTGTAATGATTTCCTAGGATATTTTCTGTGCTGAGTCTAAAAGTCACGGATAAAGTATTTGAATAGGCAAACAGCTTTTGTTATAAAAACTGAAGGAAAATGATACTTAAAAAAGTAGAAAAAGGAAATATGGAATGGACCTTGGTGAAGAATAAATGAAATTAACATATTAACTGAGATATTAGATATATTCAAAAATAGAGAAAAATAAAATTTTACTGATTATAGAGGTAAAATTCCAATGAGTGAAACCAAACACACTGCCATCAAGTCAATTCCAATTAATAGTGTTTCCAAGGCAATTGTTGAGTTCAAGCTGTTGATGTCCCCAGCAGCAGCCAAGAACTATGACCACTGCACCACTAAGGCTCCTTAAATGACTGATAAGTCCCCTATTAGATGGTAAGTAGGACTCAAATTTGGACAAAGGAAGAATCTTTGCCCACTCTTACAAAGATGATGAACTGGAGGACATGTTCATTTTCATGAACTCTAATAAATTAGTTTTTTAATATATTTGTACATGGTAACTTTCTAATATGCTTCTTTATCTGAATGTGAATAAAAAATGCATATCTTCTTACTTGTGATATTGCCTTTTATTTTCTCTAGATTTGGTAGGAAAAAAGAGAAATGAAGAACCAAACAATGGGAATAGAGTTCATTCTTCTTGGACTGACTGATGATCCTCGGCTGCAAACTGTGATTTTCCTGTTTCTCTTTCTCAACTATATTTTCAGCCTGATGGGGAATTTAATCATTATCCTCCTCACCCTGCTGGATCCTCGCCTGAAGACCCCAATGTATTTCTTCCTCCAAAATTTCTCCTTTCTAGAAATTTCATTCACAACAGTCTGCATTCCAAGGTTTTTGACTACCATTCTGACTGGAGACAAAACAATTTCCTATAATAGTTGTGTAGCTCAATTATTCTTTTTTCTTTTGTTAGGAATTACAGAGTTTTACCTTCTGGCTGCCATGTCCTATGACCGCTATGTTGCCATCTGCAAACCTCTGCATTACCCCATTATTATGAGCAGCCGAGTGTGCTATCTGCTTGTACTCAGCTCTTGGGTAACTGGATTCCTAACCATCTTTCCTCCTTTGGTTTTGGGACTCAAGCTCGATTTCTGTGCTTCCAAAACTATTGATCATTTCCTATGTGACTCTTCTCCTATCCTGCAGATCTCTTGCACGGACACTGAATTAATAGAATTGATGGCCTTCATCTTA